GAGCTCAATATCAGCTGGAAGATCCCATTAAGACACAATTAGAGATATTCTCTTTAATGCAAAACTGGCGTGACAAGATTCTTTTTCTTTACTTCAAATCTTCACACCTAATTGTATTGAACCTGTTGACAGCACTGATCTCAACCCGAGTCGAATCAGTATCCACGATATTGAGGCGTCATTGATCCAACTTCTTTCAACCAGCAGTGAAGTTAAAAATCTGGATTTTTCATGACATTTCATCTTCCCTCCTCCCAAAAAAAACCTGTTACCAAACAATTACAGAGCTTTGCCTCCATTAACATGTTACATCACAGCAGAGGAGCCAGATGGGTGCGAGTGGTTGATCCTGAATGCAAGGTCTTTATCCACCTCAGCTGACTCCAATGGAGCAGCTGTCTGCCCCGATGAGGCTCAGGACCGCCGGTGGAGCCGCTGCGTCTGCTGGAAGATTTAAGATTTAAAAAAGTGTGTCGGCGTTACAGTTCCTTACATCACTCGCAGCGGTAGTAAGGGTCGAGATTACAATACGTGGGTTTTATGAGCGACACAAACTGTCCTGCATGGTGATTTCGAGCGGCTGAGGTCTCTCGGGAAGCTAAATTGCCTTGTTGGTAAGTGGATTGAGTCACAGAAACAGACCATGAATTCCCCAGAAAAATGTGATTCAGTAAAGTGCAGCTCTCATCTCGCTCTCCCTCTCTGCCTGAACAAATTGAAACAGTGATTTCTCTTGGGCCTGCACACACACACACACAGAGGCAGTGTTTGCTGCCCGTAGCTCTCTTACGTAAGCCAACCAGAGTGATACAGCACGTTTGCATTGTTGTAGCAGGAAGTCACGGGGCCATTTGTATTGTGTTTATTTCTAAGATGTTGGCTTTTTCCATTCACTTCTGAGTGTGCGTTTGTGCGAGTGTTGAATGCGAACATCCTGTTGGGCTTGTAAGTGTTCTCGAGAATTGTATGGCAGCCTGTGGCCATGGTGGAAACGCATTAGGCTGCGTTGCATTCACTGGCGTACAGATTTATCACTTTCTCTGCACAAGGACAAGCTAAAAGGCTGAGTGCGGAGGTTTCCAGCGTTTTCCAGCTTTATTAATTACACTTGATTATTAACTAAAACTCACCTGTATGTGTTTATCTATCAAGCAACAATCAGTCTGACTCATTGTTGGGAGAAAGTCAGCCTATATAATGGCTTCATTTCTAGCCTATTTAACAGTTATTATTAACATAATACAGAGATTGTTTGACTTTTTAGTGGATAAAAAACAACCACTTTCATACCAAAATAAAAATTTCTGTACATGTAAATCCCAGAAAGAAAGGAGAAAGTCATTAAAACAGGATTCCCAGGAAAACCTGACCATCAGGAAATAATCTATGGTGTCCTGGAAATGTTTGTATTTTAACTCCTCCTTCAGATTACATAATGTTTTTTTGTTTGAAACTTCCTGGAAAATGTCCTGCAAAATCTTGATTTCCTGTTTAAGTTTAAACAGTTTTACAGAGGAGCCATTCAGAATATTCCTTTAATGTTGTGCTGTGTCCCTGTCAGGTGGAGATCAGCCTGCAGAGCAGCTTCCAGCCCGGCATGAAGCTGGAAGTGGCCAATAAGAACAGCCCGGACACGTACTGGGTGGCCACCATCATCACCACATGTGGCCAGCTGCTGCTGCTGCGCTTCAGCGGCTACGGCGAGGACCGCAAGGCCGACTTCTGGTGCGACGTCATGACGGCCGAGCTGCACCCGGTGGGCTGGTGCACCCAGAACAACAAGACCCTCATGCCCCCCGAAGGTAGGACACGATAACACGCACTCAACCTGAACTCATTAATAATCATTATAGAACAATCATGAATACACAGCTTCAACAAGATGTATTATACTTTATTTAGGTTATAAAAAGTATAATTTGAAGCTCAATTAGCATTTTTTCTTAATCACTTTCTGCTGGTTGCAGCAGGAATGTGTTAACCGTAAAAGGTGAATAATGACTAACACATGAGAAGACTTAAAATCTGTGTGAATTGTTTCTGCTGTCCATATTGCAAAGCCCTGTGAGGCACATTTGTGACTTTTTGGAGTATTTTATGGCCTTTTTTTTTTTTTAGAGGCAGATTTAGTTTTATGTGGATTCCCAACCAGTTAATATTAAACATGGTCAATGGAAGCAATAAATTCCTCCATGTTGAATAATACCAAGAAATATCTGCAAAATCTGCTTTTCTTGCAGCACCGGAAGTTTATTAAAAAAATAGTATTCATTCAGTCATTTCTGCCGCTAGAGGGACTAGAGGGAAGTTAGATGAGGTGGTGAAGCAGTGGCGCACGTACAGTCACCAGTCACATAGTTTACGGTATGTTTTTTAGGATGGAAAGCGCCCAGGAGGCGTATAGCTGCAGAAGCCCTGTCTGAAAACGCAGCGGAGAGAAAGCTCACACTAACCTCCTTTCACTCGCTCCTGGAAACTCATTTGGCGGAAAGTCGGCAGTTAACAGGGTCACACGTGCAGTTGTTCCTCCTTAAAATGGGGTATCGGCGGTTTCCGTGCACTGATCCAGTTTACAACACAATCATTTTATTAGCAGACCAAAACATGACAACTGCTTTCATTCCCAGGAGTGTCCAAAGGTTTTAACTTGATCCAGGCCATTCAGCAACGATACGCACACCACACATTACTCAAGGCTTTAGATAAGTAATTCAGTCGTTAGGCAAGTTACATTGATTATCTTAGTAGAATATTTATTTACTATTCCACTACATTAGAAATTAATTACCCCTTTGAAGATATTCATCGCTTATTAACACCGAAAATCATATACCACCCTTCTATTTTAAAATTTATTGTAGTTGAGAGGATTAGAAGGTGTAGGATACGAGAAGCAGTGTTCATTTTTACTGACAGAAAACATAAAAATATTACATACATAATACATATACATCATATACCATACATATACATATAATAATATCTACATTACATATACATATACATATATACCATACGTTATACATATACATATATACATACATTGATACATATACATATATAAAATACATATACATATACATATATACCCATACGATAAGGTACATATACATATATACATACATATAACATTATACATATATACATACATAATACATATAACATATATACCATTACATATACATACATACATATACTCTACATACATATACACATAACATATTATATACCATATTACATATATATATACACATATACATATATAGTATACACATATAATATTATATATAACACATATACATATATATATATATACTATATTATACAGTATATATATATATATTATATATATCACACATATACATATACATATATACCACATATAACATACATATACCATACATATATATATATGCTATACTATACACACTATATAATGCCTTAACCACTTTCTTTATGATGTAAACAGAATAATCTTTATATACGTCACTTGTGTATATTAATTTGAGATAAGATGTGCATGCCATGCTATCACGTAAACGATATTTTTTTAATATAAGCCACCCGTATCTTTGAGATACTTATTAGTTTGATCATTAAAATTAAAACCTGCACACACGCCGACACAGTTAAATAAATGTTAAGAAACAACAACACAACATTAAATACAAAAAAAAAATAAAAAAAACAAAATACACAAATAAAAAAATACTATATTGACAGCATAATACATACATAGTGTACTATTCAACTTTGACCTTGCCAGCTTGGATACTCCTCCTGTGCCTCTCTAGGTGAAGTTCATCACATTTTTATTAATTTCCTCTACTTCACAATTATAATAAACTGACAGGATTTCAGATAGCAACTAATATATACATCGAGATATTATAACAAATGACATGCCACACATAAAACATGATTAAGCTTACAACCAACATCAATCGCCAGATGCTATGAAAGAGCAGTTACCCTAGGGAAGTTACGAGCATATACATAATATTATATTTGCAAGATAGACATGTAAGAATGTTTCAAAAAAAAAAAAATAAGAGGAACTTCCATATTAAGATATCTCACTATTATGGTCTTTTCTGGATTGCATCACGGTGATTGGGTTTCACTGTAAAGAGACGAAATCACTTATTCTGAGGCAGCTGTGTGAACCGCTCACAGGAGTGATGAATCTGTCGTGCTTTCCATAAAACAGAAAAGTGGGTGAGATTGAATCCACCTCTTGGGATTTATTTCTTTTGTAATACCCTTGTCTTCAATGCTTTTTCCTGCATTTTTTTTAATTTTTCGACCACTCGAAGTCGCCTCAAAATAAACGTCACAAAAGACGGCAGAACTCAGTCAGGTTAAAGTGCAATTAATGTCTTCTAATTAGAAATCAAACAAACATGTTCCACAAAAAGAGCCACGAGGTGTGGAGAGTGGAAAGGGTACGTTCGCGTTGAATGCAGAAAAAGCTGAACATAAAACCTGGAGGTGCGTGGACGCCCTTTGGGTTATTTAAAGGCTCGGTGGAGGTTGCACAGGTGCCACCACATTAACTTAATGACCCTCCCCTGAGCGCAGAGCTCCTGCAGGAAGGACACCGTTAAACCAACAAAATGGAATGATTGCACAGCAGACGTTTCAACTCGTCTAAGTGGAATATCACAGGTGGATAATGATGGCTCAGTTTCCATTTAAAGCCAGTTTAACCCCTTTAAGATCACATTCCTCAGGTAATATTTTCCTTATTTAACAATTTAACATTCACAAAAACAATTTTTTTGTGTTTTTATATCAGAATCCAATCATTTTGGTCTTCCTGTAAAACTAAATGTGACGTGCGCCTTACGTCAGCAATGGAACTAACTGATTTCAACCAATAATATAACGGGGCTCAGCCAGCCTCCCAGTGAACACAACCTCCAGAGACAGGACCAAGTTTGATGACAGCGGTACCCGAGGTGATTTATCGGAGTTTCCAGATGGACTTGTTGCTAAAAGAAGCTAACAGTAACGTTAAATGCTGTTAGCTAGTTACCTTGTGAGATAGCTGACTTAGCCCCGGGGTTGCAGGAGACAAAACCCCAGCAATAAAAAAAACAGCCTTAGTGCTTTATTCCCTGTTGTCAATCCGTCCGATGTCGACATGAGATGCTGGCATTGAGTCCCAGAGTCGCCTAGGTGTTGAACCGAACAGAGCCTTGTGTTCCTAGCGTCTAGGCGTCCAAAGAGGTTCAGTTTGTACCAAACACAAACAAAGAGCTTGTGGAGAAACGTTTGTCCCCACCGAATTTACTTCAAGAACGGACGCGTCCAGAAAGTAATCACATTAAATCGTTTACATGGTACAATTTTTCCTTTGGTCCTGTTTATGAAAAAGGTTTAAAACTACCCCCCTCTGCGATCGATTCGGGCCTCCTTTAATTCTGATTGAGGTGTTTAATACAGGGCATTTTTTATTCTGTTTAGGCCTTTAAACCGATTATAATCGAATATATGGCTCCATCATCTCCCCTCTCACCAGCCTAATCATTTTTGTGCAGCCCCCTAAACAACAAGAACGTGCTGAAGATGGATTACAGGGTTACACAGGGATAGGTGTCCTCTCCCATCAAACCACTTGCAAAATAATAACCTCAGACACCCTTTTATTTGTAAAATTGGGAACTTATAAAATGTTCACAAAGATCCTGATTAAAGCAACTTCAGACGAGACAGAACAGAGTTATGAGTCACTGCGAGCTTAAAAAAGGCTGCGCCTTTTGACCATGAAAATGTATCAGGAAAGCAGTCGATTGCCTGTGATTCAAGAGACAGTTTAAAAATAAACTAGCAGCACCCCGGTGTCATAGCGGAGCTTGGTGAGATGTAATAGGTAATCTCAAAGTGTGGGCATAGCAGCAGTGTAAACTCCCCGGGGGAAATCAAGAGCTTTTCACAGCTGCGCCCTGCCCGCCAGCAGTCGCAACACAACTCTGAAAATGACAGGGCAACCGTGCGAACGGACGAGGACCGGGCAGCAAACTTGAGCTTCGACCTTAAATCCAAATCTTCACCGTGAACTCGTGGGTGAGAACAAAAGCTTGGTGTTTTCCAGATAAATACGCCCGCTGCCTGAAGTGCAGTCGAACATGAAGCTGTGTACCCTCCACCCGCCAGTTACAGACGAACCGAGTTTGAAAAAGGTAAATATTTCTCTTGTTTTCCTGTAGAGAGGAATATATGCCATGAGCCAAAAACATCTGGCGCCAATTTTATTCAATTTTGGATAATTTAAAGCCTGCAGTGGGTTATTTTTTTATAAAAATATTGTTTGTCATATTTGCTGAAACTTTCAGCTACATCAATGATTGTAAGGACATGAAGACAGATGATCTGTGAAAAATTAGGTTCCTCCTGGTTCATTCTAGTGTTTCTAAGGTAAAATTGATAAGAAAGCAATGGGCCCGAATTAAAAACAACAGTCAGAGCCGAGAAAGATAAGTTGAAATTGTTACAGGGACTGGATTACAATTTTTTTGGGCAGGCATTTGGCCTTTTATAGATCAAATTTATTGACACCAAGACCAAAACTACACTGTGGTAGATAAATATAATTATATATTACGTTAGCCTGCTTAGCGTCATTATATTCATATAATCATGAAATATCCTTAAAGTCGTAGTCCATGACCTTAATGGGAGTTGTTAAGTTTACTCAATGATAGTAAAAAAGAGGTCAGCTTAAGAAAAACTGTGTTTATGCTAAATATGCTAACAATGTTAGTTTTCCTGAACGTTCTGGTTGCAAATATATTTGTGGGAAGAATCTTGTGCCTTCTGATGATGTCCCAGAGTGAACGACAGAACACAGGGAAACTTTGTTATTTAAGACTCAAAAAATTCAACTATATTCAAGCCTCCAATCCCAAACTGTAATTTTATCGTTTTCGGATCTGATTGGTTGTTTTTTATTCGGGCCCGGTGGATCCGGCACACGGCCCACGACGCGCGGGGGCACACGCGGCGGGGGTCCACACCGCCAACCCCCCACCGGGGGCAGACACGTTCTTCCTGTGTGTGTGTGTGTGTGTGTGTTGTTGTGTGTGTGTGTGTGTGTGT